TCTACATATGGTTCACAATTCAAAACTTAAAATTAAATTATTGATACATTCACCATTTCATGCTAGTGGTTTATAATACTTAATTTTTAAACTTGAATTTTAACAGCATTCATCATTAAAACTTCATTGAACTTCATTAATCTTCATTTTTTTGAGTGCCAATAAAATAAAATTTGTAAAATCGGCCGAGTTATTCTTGAGTAAGACGGTTACCATAATTCTCTACATATGGTTCACAATTCAAAACTTAAAATTAAATTATTGATACATTCACCATTTCATCCTAGTGGCTACTTAATTTTTAATTTCGAATTTAAACAGCATTCATCATTAAAACTGCATTAAACCTCATTAATCTACATTTTTTTGAGTGCCGATTAAAAAAAAATTTTGTGAAATCGGCCGAGTTATTCTTGAGTAAGACAGTCGCAATAATTCTCTATATATGGTTCACAATTCAAAACTTAAAATTAAATTATTGATACATTCACCATTTCATCCTAGTGGTTTATAATACTTAATTTTTAAATTCGAATTTAAACAGCATTCATTAAACTTCATTAAATCAACGTGTTTTCAACTCACGTGTAGCTTTCTGTCTGGCCGTTGAGTGTTTAATTAATTCGGTTGCTTAAAATCAATACTTAATCGTGTATTTACTCATGAAGAGGGATTGGTCAGAGAAAATTGTGTTCGGGATCACCTTTTTTTCTTCTTATTACCTGCGGGCAATTTAAGAAATGAGGATGATGATGTTGTTTACGACTCTGCCTCCTAACTTAACTTCTCTCAAGGTTTCCTGGAAAAGTTCGAATTCTAGAAATCCTTGGAAATTCCTGGTTGTATTTATAGTAGACAGAATATATTAGTATTATTTTTACTTGGAATAAATTTATATAAAATCAGGTTGACATTATTTTAAGTTTATTCGCTAAACGACAATTTAATATAAACACTATAGCATAAAAGTGAGTACCATTGCTTTTTTGATGTTCTAGATATTTATTTTTACTGTTTACTAGCCCATCGCATCAATTTGAAATTATATTCTTTACTTATGAAAATAATTTTTCTAATTATTTATTACATTTTTAAACATTATTTTTTATTTCGGTTTACATGAATTAAATTTAAGTGGAATCTTATAGTTAATTAGAATTTATTAGCATTATCTTAGAACTTTAGTGGACATGGTATTTTGGTATAATTCTAAAAAATTATTTTGAAAAAATATAATTTGATAAATTAATATTGCATGTTGATTCTTTAATAAATTCTTACCTAATGTAAAACTCATCGATAAATAATATTTACTTATACTATATTTTATGTATGGTATTTGTATAATTTGCATAATAAATATAATTTATCTTTTTTTTTTTTTGAAAAAAATAAAAAAAAAAAATTCGTTTTTACTTTTTTAGAGGGATATTTTTTCAATTTCTGAAATCTTTTTGAAATTAATTCGATGCTATTTGTATTAGGTATTAAGTATTTATAGATTATCGATTCAAAGTCATTTTTTTTCTTAAAGTTGAATTTCATGAGAGTTGCAAGATTTCTTCACATTTTCAAACAAAACAAATTGCTTTCACGAAAAGCTTTTTCGATCAATGTCGATTATTAGTTGTATCAATAAATGAACATTTTATCAACATTTTGGAACACAATTAGCATAACAGGAAAGATATCAGGACATTAAAAATGCAATTCAAACGAAATCTTTTTTTAAAAAATATTTAATAAAAATTAACTTTTATTAAATTGTTATAAGTATCAGCATACAAAGAGCAGTAATATGTTATAAGTATCCCGTGCTTAGAATTCAAACTCAAAAAATTTTAATTTAAAATTAAAAAAAAGTTTTAATATTTTAAAAATTAATTATTTACAGAAAGTTGAGAAGTATAATAATTATATATACTTATAATTTAATAAAATTTTAAAAATGATATCCTACAAAAAATTGCTTTTGGTGATGCTTTCTGAGCGAAACTTTATTAATAACTATTAATAACAACTATTAATTATTATTAATTATTAATTACTATTAATTTAAAATTACTGTTTATTATTAATAAATATTCTATTTATATATACGCTAGATTGCTATCACTATGGTTTCAGTTGAACATTTAAGATGTTCAAATGAATTGTATTTAATTGCATATCTCTTAATTAAGTTGAAGAATCGGTAACAAAAATAAATTCTTTCTGAGTGAAGTCTATTAATTACTATTAATAACAACTATTAATTTTTAATTATGATTAATTATTAATAATAATTACTTGTTAAAAAAAATTAAAACAATAATATCAATATCTTAAAACTGTATCCATGAATTACTTTCGATCTTATTACCGATATCGATGCTCTCAATTGCTATCTTTATGGTTTCAGTTGAACATTTAAGGCATACAAATGAATTGTATTTAATTCCACTAATGAAGTGTATTAATTCCACATTAATTGTATTAATTAACGTACAGCTCTTAATTAACTTGAAGAGTCGGGAAAAAAATTAACTGTTCCAACAATTAAAAAAAATATTTTTTATTTTCTAATTTAAAAAAAAAATGGTAGATACGGAATATCTTCTATCTATCTATATTATATAAAACGCTAATACGTACGTATGTATGTATGTATCAATAAAACCGATGATATTTCTTTTCTCGCGCTGGCAACAGTTTTCATTTTTAATTGATTGGATTCGGCGCGCAAGAGCACGTAGTGAGCAACCAGATAACAATAACCAGAGTGAGCATTATCAGGTTGTTCAATTCAGATTCATGCACTAAAAACATTACAATATTTAATTTAAACTCAATTAGGAATTATTTAATTAATTGAAGTGAGAATGTTTTAAAAGGCCGCTGTTGAATTGATATTTTTCTACTGGGAGCTACCTAAACGTCTAAAAAACGTTTAAGTGTTTGTATTGAATGCATTGAATTTTTTTATATTTCGCGTTTATTTATGAAATTGAATTTTCACGCTTTAAAATGCAGACTATTAGTGAAGCAATATTTGATAATTTATTTTGCTAATATGTTTCTTATTCAGCTAATGTTTTGATTTTTTTCACCATGTACAATCTAAATAGCTAATATACTTTTTTAAAGGCCAATAAGAACATTGGTAGAATTCTTTTACGTAAGTACAATACTATGTCTTTGATGATAAAATACTATGTCTTTAATGATAATATATTATGTCTTTGTGCTAGAACATTGTGTTCATTGGCGAGCGAGCGCAGGTAGGCGAGCGCCAGCGAGCAGGGGGCGAAGCCTCCTAGTATTTTTATAATACATGAGAGCTCGGCTTTCTATTCGGGTCGCTGATCATTTTCTTCGTTATCATTCGTAATAAAAATTTATTCGATAAAAAAAAAATCCAAAAATTTTATAATGCATCAGTACAGAAATGATACCAAAGGCTTAGTTTTCGTTTCGATAGAATTTAAATTTTATCATTTTGTTTGGTTACAATGACAACCTCATCTTAAAAAAATTTATTTTTTTAAATATTTTTGTTTGTTTATTCATTTTTTTTATTTACTTACTTAGTTATTAATTAATTAACTAATTTATTTATTTTGGAAAGCTTTGATTTAATTTTTGTTTACTATAAGAACTTTTGCTTACTAATTTTTGTTTACTATAAGAATTATGCTAAATATTTTTCGACTACACTGTAAAAAATCCGGGTCAAACTTCAATATAAAGTACCGGCACTTTTGGTGCATCATCTTTAAAATCCATTTTAACGTTAAATACATTTTTATCATAAAACATTATGCAGTAATTTTCACAATGATACTTATTCTGTTCGACTGGTTCGGTGATTTTACGGTAATTATTTCTTTAAAAATTAATGAACATCACATTTTTTGTTCTTTAAGATAATCCGTTAAAAATGAATTTTTCGGTAAAAAGTACCGGCACCCTGAGTCCCGGTACTTAATAACATAATTTGATCTGGAATATTTTACAGAGTAAGAGATTACTTAGAGCTAAGTAAAGTCTAAAAATTAAGCACAGTATAATAGTAAAATTTGCTTTAGAAATTTTAATAGCTAGTTTGCATTCATTATTTCAAATTAGCTGCACAGAGTTTCACTTTAAGTTAACCTAAAGATATTGAATCTTAGTAAAGTAGAAATGTAATTAATAGGATACCTGCAAGTTACGTAGTGCGGGTATCTCAATCCTGATTGGTTGTTGAAACCTGGCATTTGCTTACGTTAGCAACTGTTCCTTCAATTTTATTTTAAGTAAGCCAAGTCCGTCAGGTATCAAATCTCTTAGGTGACACATTCTAGATTCTTTCACAAATATTTCAGTTCTCTCACTATATATTTCTTACTTAATACAAAGACAGGCAAGAATCCATATAGAACGTAAACAAACTAATTAGGCTTAAAAGTCGCCAGATTCATAAAACAGAGATTTATCACTTTTTCTAGTGAAATATATAAATCTAAGTTAAGCAAAAGACGTAAGCAAGACATTATTATATTTTAGTAAATTCGATGTGCGATACGGCGTTGTATTTAATTAACTTCACGCTAATTAACGTTCTAACTTATGGGGCGAAACTTAACTCAACTTTAATACGCCATTTTGCTTGTACACGATCAGCTGGCGCTGGCGTCATAAGTCACATGTGTGGGTATCTGTGATCTTCTTTTCCTTGAAGTAAAAGTACCTGGTTGCGTCTTAATAAATGTGAAAACGGCGACTGAATAACTATATCATAAAATGTTACAATAAGGTAATATTCCGTTCCTTCAATGAACAACACTTTGTATTTTTTAAGTGTGTATAAACAAAGTGTAAAATAAATAATTTCCTGGTAAACTTTTACAAATTTTATGTTGTTAACAACCAAAGAAATCTGGAACTTTATGTGTGAAAACTGGGTCAAGCCATGTGATTTATAAGTCGAATGAGAATACGCTGTCCGGTCATCATTTTTAAATTACTTTTTATGTGCATAAATAAAAGGAGATAATTGGGTATAATATGAAAAAAGCACAACTACTTCCACTTACTAGGAATAACATTTACCTTTTAGTTTAATTAATAAACTGAGTTTTAAATATGCTTACTAAATTCGCGATCGCAACGAACTATAGGAGGCGTTGTTGTATGAGACGCATACCTGCGATTTCTATATAAACCGTCATTCAATTACTCTGGAGACGTCGTTAATGTAGCGTGTAGCATTGCAACGTTCCTTCTTTAATGTGGCTTATTAAATTTAAAAAAGAAAAATGTTTGATATCCTTTCTTATACAACCGAAAACAAGATGGTATCTCTTTTTTTTTTTAAAGAAGGAACATCCAAAACACATCTGAAAAATTTTTGTAAATAAACAGAAAAAAATATGTATCTTCTTATTAGAGTTAAAACCTAATGCCTGAGAAATAGTTTTACTAAATTTAACGATATAACCTGAAAGGCCCATTTAAACTTTACATCAGAATCATATTACTTCAAAAATTAAAATGAACAAAAAGTATACATAAGCCTCATAATTTTATGAAATTTAATTTTGTAAACAAGGTTTTTTGACAACAATTTTTATCAAAAAATTTCAAGTTTCAATAAAAATCATTATTTAGAAACTAAGAAACGTAAAATAAAGAATGCTGACGAAACAAAAACAAAAAAACAATTCTTTTTTGTCGCCATTTTTAGTGCTACGAAAATTCGTCTTTGGGATTTGCCAAAAACAAAACAAGATGCAATTTTATTTTTT